CACACACACGCATCGAATGGGGAGAGGCGCGGCACAAGTGAACTGGATAGAGAAAAATCACATAACCATAACCTTTCGGCGATCCGCGAAGATTTCTTCGATTCGCGCTGGAATCCCCCCTTCCCTGGCGCGCGGAGCGCGCTAGGGCCCAGGCGCGAAGCCAAGAAATCCGCGCAGAGCGCCACAAGTTTATGTTTATGTGGTCTCTTCTTTTTCGATGGATGTGGCCCACCGAGTTGATCGTCCCCCGGAGGAAGCACGATATCTTACTTAGGGTTCGTGTTGTGTCGACCCCGGCGCTGGTGAATGACACCGGGTCGATCGTCCGACCTTGAAAACGATCGGTGGCCCGAGCCCAGTCCTTCCACAGTGGCCGATTCTGGGCCCCATGGCGGCGTTCAGCCTTCAGCGCCCGCGCTGGCATCGCCGCCGGTTCGACGCGACGCGAACCTGCCGCATCTGCAAGCCCAGACCCCCGACGTCGTGAATTTTTCATGACGTCGACCCCCAGCTGTCTGGACCCATTCCCCGGGACCGGTTTTTCGTCCCGAGTCGTTTTTTGACGGTCCCGAGGGCCGGTAAGGGCCCCCAGAGGCCAAAGATAATGAAAAACCTCGCGTCGTGATTTTTTCACAACTCGAGGGGGTCTGGGAGCGGGACGAACAACTTGCTGCGTTTCATGTACGCAAGGCCACGCGCGGAGGCCGCGCGCCGGATGTTCTCTCGCGCGACGGGCCGGCGCGCGGCGGGCCGCGCACGAGGGCGCAGGCGCTGCGGAGGACCGCGGGCCCTCGCGTGTCCGGCTGGCTCGGCTCGGCCTGCCGAGGCGCCTGCGCGCCTCCGCTGGCCTGCAGCTCCTGTGGAAGTGGGCCAACGACCGAAGAGTCGAATCGCTACGCTGCTTCCCGCAGGTAGAGGAGGGTAAGGGAGAAGGTCGCGAGCCCCTTTCCCATGCGCCGCGGGATGAGCGGCGCGGCACCTACAACCCTCGTCGAAATTGAACGCAAGTTGTTTCCACCCCCGTCGCCCCCAAATTTCAATGTTCATCGACGGGCGCGTCGCGGCCGGCGGGGTCTGAAGAAAATCTCGAAGTCGCCGGCGTCGGCGTGAACATTGAAATTGGGGGTCGGGGGGCGCCGCCAGGTCGCGGCTAAAACTTGCGTTCAATTTCGACGAGGGATGTAGTACCAATACCTGAGCCGAGACGTCGGCGGTAGATGAGGGTAGAATGGTGATATGAGCGGACTTGACACACGGCTCCAGGATCTTGCCATTCACGATGCAGTCAACGCCTTGCCACAGCGAGCCTTGAGCTGAGAACGGAGCCCCTCTTCGGGCCACGGTTGCGCCCAGATTTGCGAGGAGCGCCCGTCGAAAATCTGGAGGCCGTCGAGGTGCAAGGGGAACGCAAACCAACCACACGCAGCTGACTGCAGATGGACCCTGCGCAGATACCAGTCCAACTCATATGGGAAAGTTTGAGCGAAAAGATAACATACGCGAATATATATATATATATATATATATATATATATATAATTCGGCAATAATAGTCAAACGAACGTCCCCCTAATATTTCTGGGCTATGTTTGAATATTCCTCCTGTAGAGGGACAGGCCCGACTTAATGCTAGAAGGAGGAACGCTGAGCACGGAACTAAGGTGCTTTCCTGGCCATGGCGAGCGTCGGCCACGAATAGGTTCCCCAGCAGATTCTCCAGATCGATGGCTCGGCCGGAAAACCAGAGCCACGTTCAGAGAGCTTGCCCAGGGTTGCACGAACTGTGTGACTCCGACTCGAACTATTACATATTTCTATATGACCGGGGAGCCCACACCCCAGCGCCCTCCCCCCCCCCCAACGAATTTGGCCCTCCCTGGGCCTCCGGGCAACCCTTCAGACGACACGGGAAACCTCACGAGAGTCCGAAGACGGACCTAGACGGGTTCCAGGCGTTCTCGCACGCTCCCGAAACGACCCCAGAGAGCCCCAATACGGTCCACGACGACCCCCAAGAGGCCGCCATACCCCCAAAGACCGTCCCGAAACGTCCCAAGAGGCCTCCAAGAACACGCCCAAAAAGGTCCCAAGAGGCGAGAATCATTAATTGTCTGTTGGTTTTCGGTGAATTTTGGGGATATCCTCTTTTCGGCTTCCCGACGCTCCAAGACGGCAGTCTTCTGGGGCGTCCAAAGCCGCCTGGGAGGCTCCCAAATCGCCCCACAACCATCCGAAAGGGCTTCCAAGCAGTCCAAGAGAGAGCCCCAAAACGGCACAACAGGGGTCCAATATGGCCCTCAGAGAGCCCCATGGCCGCCCCAGATGGCCCCAAGATGGCATTCCAAATCGTGACCTGGTCGTTCAAGGAGACCACGGTTGGAGGCAGGGTGGCCCGAGGAAGCCCCCAGAGGCCCCGAGAACACGCCCAGGATGCCTCCAAAAGGCCTTCAGAAAGCCTGAAACAACTTTTGTGAGGCCCCCAGAGGCTCTCCAAGGAGGAGCCTCCGCAAAAAGAGCTGAGGATGATGGGGAGAAGAATGCGCAGGGTATGGCGAACATGAAGAAACATAATCGTAGAAGAATAACGAATAACATTGTTATAGCGGCGATGCCGGAAGAAAGGCAACAAGGAATTATCGCTAAACTGTCGGCTTGGCCTTCCTGCCATTTCGCCTGCACACCAAACTTCAAGGACCAAGGTGCATGACGCGAAGCGCCACTGTAGTCTTGCACGTATATATATATATATATATATATATATATATATACACAAGACTGCATTGGCGCTTCGCGCCAATGCAGCCTTGTTCCGGACGCTTCCCTGGCAAAGCAATAAATCATCGCTTTCTTCAGCAGGGAGGACCTCGAGGCCTGGACGGGCGACCCGCCCATTTTTCCGATATCCCAGGTGCCGGCTGACACCGCTTTCGGACGATGCGCTGGCACGCTTGTGCGCAGGAGTGGGGAAATCATGCTCATTTTTTCGCGCGCAAAGGTCATTTGAGGAAGTAAGGAGCGTTCCCCTGACACGCCGAAGAAGTCACAGTAGCTCCGAACACATCGATTGCTGATCGCTTCCCGAATGCCTGGAGGGCTCCAGGCACTCAGGAAATCTTCGATCGTCGAATGTCGAATCTAGATCCATTGCCTGTCTCTCTCGATCGGGGAGCTGCTGAAACCTCGAGCCTCAAGCGTGGAACCAAGATCGTCGGGTCAACTTGGTGTGTATTTCGTAGAAGAACGCCGTCTGATCGTTTTTGGTGCTCTTTTGTGCCGTCCTGGGGCACTCTTGGGCCGTCCTGGGGGCTTCTTGGGCCGCCTTGGGGAGCTGGGGCCCTCCAGAGGTCTTCTGAAGCCATCTAGGGCCCTCTTGCGGGCCTCCATTGGCGCCCTTGGAGGTATCCCATGGCTTTCGTGGGTCTCTCTTGGGAGCCTTCAGGGGGCATCTTGGGCTTCTTGTGGGCAGTCTCGGTGCTCTCTGGGGCAGTCTTGGGGCCCCCTTGGGCCGCCTTCAAACCCTCTGGGGGGCCTCTCGGGCCGTCTTGGGGCGAGATTGGGGGCCCATTGGGCCGTCTTGGACGCTGCGAAGATCCAAAAAGCGGATATGCACAACTAATGTATTTCCTGAAGGAATGTGACAATTTTGGCTTCCTCGGCGCTCTCTTAACGGCCTCTTGGGGTGTCTTGGGGGCCTCTTGGGCCGTCTTCAGACCATCGAGGTTCCTCTTGGAGCGCTTTTGTGCTGTCTTGGGTCTCTCTTGCGCCTCTCCGATGACCCTTCTAATCGCCTTGAGTCTGCTCGCAAGGCCTGTCAATGCGCCCTGGGAGGCCCGGAAGGGCCACCGAACCTTTTCCAAGGGCGTCCAAGGGGCCGCCGAGACGTCCGAAAGGGCGTCCCGGCCGTCCCTTGGAGGAGGATCCGGTTAAGGGGGGGGGTCCGGGGGGGGGTGGGGGGGGGGTTCCAGGTAACAAAAATATAAGAATAGGAATATCGACCGGATTTCCCGTGGAGAGTGGCCCAAGGTTTTGAAGTCGTTTATAACTTGCTTTGATGTGTGACGTCACATAATGTTGGACTCCTCCTCCTCCTCCTCCACCTCAGCCTCCTCCTCAGCCTCCTCCTCCTCCTCCTCCTCCTCCTTCTCCTTCTCTTCCTCCTCCTACTGGCAACAAGGGCACACCCATGCTCCCAAAGAATCAACGAACGCCCTCATCGCCATACATGTCCGAATCCGTGCAAAATCGAAGCCATCAAAACAGACGGCCGACCCCAAGATCGACCCCAGCATGTGGTTGATGACGCGCTTCTTCACGGTGCTCACGCCCAAGATGATGCTGACCACCACGGCGTCGTTGCCGTCACCGGCCCTCGCCGACAAAGACGATGACGATGAGGAGGAGGAGGAGGCGGAGGACGAGGAGGTGAGTATGGCGGGCTGTCGCTGGAGATGGGATCTCCTCCTCCTCCTCCTTCTCCTCCTCCTTCTTCGCCAGACGACGTGAAGGATAGCGAAAAAGAGGAGGACGAGGACGTGAGGGTGATGGGCTGTCACTGTAAATCGAACGAGGAGGAGGAGGTATGCACGGGTCGGGGAGAAGGCGGGGCCCGAGCGGAGCGGTCCCGACAGAGAAAGAGGAGCACCGCAACTCGACACCGAAGCATCTGTCATGATGGGGCGCTTTCTTAGTCGGCGGTTCGACATTTGGCGGAAGGGGGGGGGTCTTGCTCCTGACCTCTGATTCACGTGACTGTTTGCAGCACTGCGTCCCACGGGGGAGCCTCCGCCTGCCCGAAACGGGCGCCGACAACAATCAAGATCCACTCCTCCATAATTGGGGGGGGGGGGGGGCAGGCAGGGGGTGGGGGTGCGAGGGCCCGCGCCGATCGGCAACACAGCGAGTAAGAAAACGACGCCATAATGCGGCCTGGAACTTTTGCGCACCGCGTCGCGGCGGCGGCCCCGGCGACACGCCGTGCCGTGCAGTCGGATGCCTATCGTCGCTCCGCCCCGCGGGGGGCGGAGGCCGGAGCCAGCGGAGCGGCACGCGGAGGGGACGCTCCCGACGGCGGGATATGGCATGCCAGCACGTGGTGCCCGTCGCTGGCGCGCGCTGCACGCGCCCACGCGCCGAAGTGGCTATGCGCGCGAGGTTTTTTTTGTTTTGTTTTCTTTCCAACCTCATCGAGTTTGTGAAAACAGAGGGAAGGAGGCGATACCCCTCTGTTTTTGACCAAACCTGCAACGCGTTAGGAAGCAGGAGGTCGGGGAGAGGTGCCGTCTCCGCCAGCATGGGGTTCGCCGGCGGAGAGAGAGACAGCGGTCAGAATCGAGGAAATGGAGGAGGGAGTCGATGCCCCGATGCCCCCGAAGGGTCCTGCCACGGCGGGTGCGAAGAAACACTCGCTGCGGCCACGTCGAGGAGTCGGCTGCGAGGGGAAGCAAGGAGGGGAACCCTGACTCCGGATCCGCCCTACTTTGGGGAAAGTCGTAAGTGGGGCTTGGAATGTCCGCCTTACTTTTCAAGCCCCGCTGATGCCAATGTCCGCCCTACTTTTCTGTTGCTGTTTCTGTGTATTTCCGCCCTATTTTATGTTGGGTGCAGCAATTTCCGCCCTACTTGTTCGGCCTCTTCTAGGTGGATGTCCGACGCAATTTTAAGTAGGAAAAAAAGCCAAAGTAGGGCGGATCTGGAGTCAGGGAGGAGGGGAGGGATGCATGTGAGGACAAGTCGAGGCGGGCGGGGCGGACTCGTGGCGCAGGCCGTGGCAGGACGTGGGCAAGCCTGCCGATTCCATCGGTGGAGGAGGAGGAGGAGGAGGAGGAGGAGGAGGAGGAGGAGGAGGGGGGGAGGAGGAGGCCGCTGGGAAGCGTTCGTGGCTGCGCCTTGGGAGGAGCATGGGGACGCGGGACGAGCAGAGGCGCTCACGTCGACACGTGCGGGGTCGACCCAGCGTTTGGCGAGGAGGCCGCCGAAGGCTGCTTTTCAGTGCCGCCCTGGGCCTCACCGCCGGTGGGAATGGATCTGCCAACTCTGCCCTCTCCCCCTCCCCGCCTTCCTCCCTTCTTTGCTCCCCTTCGCCCCTCAGGCCCTACCGTGCACTTCATGAGTCGCAGTGTCAAAAGCAGCAGGAAAAGAAGAAGACACATAGGATGATGACGGAGGCGACGACGACGGACAATGGATCTCGGGGAGAATAATGACTAGGATGGACAGGATGGCGAGGACCAGGAGTCTAAATACACACATGTGTATCTACATATTTGTGTTAAGAGAAAACGAGAGAGAGAGAGAGAGAGAGCGAGCGAGAGAGAGAGAGAGAGCAACAAAAAATGGCGACGGCGACGAGACGCCCCCATAAGAACCCAGAACGGTGCCCCGTCCCAGTCCACCCCCTCCGATATGACCCCGTGGAACCGCCAGGAACTTCCGAAACAGTTTGAGTTCATCCTGCCTGAGCGTTCTCCTCCTACCCCTTCCTCCCCCTCTTCCCCACGGAGTCCCGCTCCTCCCGTATCCTCCACCTGTTCCCGCGCCGTCCCACCCTCCTCCCACGGCTCGCTCCCACTTTTTCTCCTCCTCCTCCTCCTCCTTCTCATCCTCCTTCTCATCCTTCTCCTCCTTCTCCTCCTCCTGATCCTTCTTCTCCTCCTCCTCCTCCTCCTCCTCCTCCTCCTCCCTCTTCCTCCCTTCCTCCTCCTCCTCCTCCTCATCCTCCTCATTATGATCATCCTTATCATCATGATGATGATCATCATCAGCATCAGCATCAGCATCATCATCATCATCAGCATCCATCATCACTATCAGTATATCATCATGTCATGATCATGATGATGAATCAGCATCATCATCAGCATCAGCATCATCATCAGCATCATCATCAGCATCATCATCATCATCATCATCATTCATCATCATCATCATCATCATCATCATCATCATCATCATCATCATCATCATCATCATCACCATCACCATCATCAGCATCAGCATCAGCATCAGCATCAGCATCAGCATCAGCATCAGCATCATCAGCATCAGCAGCATCAGCATCAGCATCAGCATCAGCAGCATCAGCATCAGGCATCAGCATCAGGCATCAGCATCATCATCATCGACATCATCATCATCATCATCATCATCATCATCATCATCATCATCATCATCATCATCATCATCATCATCATCATCATCATCATCATCATCATCATCATCATCATCATCATCATCATCATCATCATCATCATCATCATCATCATCATCATCATCATCATCATCATCATCATCATCATCATCATCATCCATCTCTCCCTCATCCCTCATCTCCTGTCCCTCCTCCGTGCTCTTCTATCACGCCGCTTCCCGCTCCCCCCCGCTCCTCCATCTGCCTCTCCTCGCCTCTTCCCCGCCCCGCCACCCCCCATGTGCCTCCCACGTCGGCAGCGATGGCCCGTAAGCTCTGCGGCGTGCTGGCCGAAGACGCGGGGTGGCTTCGGCGCCGAGAGGAAGAACGGCGTACGTCTAGCTCAACATATCCGCGCGGGCCTACATTCTCGACGACGGCGCCACTCGGGGGGGCGGGAGTCGGGAACGCCAAGGTTTTGGCCCACTCCATGTCCCCACATCTCGCCGACACCAGCGCGTCCCACCAAACGCCGACAGCGGCGTCCCGAACATGGACATCGAGCGCAAGATGTAGGCCAAGGCCGACACATGGCATACAGAGCTTCTCATCCTCGAGCGTAGCCGAAGGCCCGCCTCCAGGTTCGTCGTCCCATGGTGCCAGTACCGGCCACCGTGGCTGGGAGAGCGACCCGATGCCTCGCTGTGGGCAAGACAAAAACGGCAGGCCTGCTCGGAGAGGCATGTACCCAGACCCCCGACGACATGCTTTTTCCCCAAACAGCTTGCTGAACGGGGTGCTGTTGTGATAGAAGCTAACTCCGGCCGAGGGAAGCCGGAGCAGAGACATCCTCACAAAAATTTGATGGTCCGGGCCGTTTCGCTTGAGACATCCTCACAATTCTCGTTTCTGAGTTGGCCGGGATTGGCCGTTTCGCCTGAGACATCCTCGAAAAGTTACGCTCCGGGACGCCGCGCGAGAGGTTGTCCGGGCCGTTTCGCTTGAGACATCCTCAAACTTCTGAGCCCCGAGGTGCCGTGCGAGAGGTGGTTCGGGCTGTTTCGCCTGAGACATCCTCAACCTCTGAGCTCTGAGACGCCCTGCGCGAGGTGGTCCGGCCCGTTTCGCCTGAGACATCCTCGAAACTCTAACCTCGGAGATGCCGCGCGAGAGGTGGTCCGGCCCGTTTCGCCTGAGACATCCTCGAACTTCTGAGCTCTGAGATGCCCTGCGCGAGGTGGTCCGGCCCGTCTCGCCTGAGACATCCTTGCAACTCTGAGCTCTGAGATGCCGTGCGCAAGGTGGTCCGGCCTATTTCACACAAGACATTCTCACAACTCTGAGCTCCCAGATGCCGCGCAAGAGGTGGTCCGGCCTGGGGGCCCAGAAGACCACATGTTACATCTCCTCCCCGGGACCCTGGGAGCCCGCCTGAGACATCCTCGAACTTCTGAGCTCTGAGATGCCCTGCTCGAGGTGGTCTGGCCCGTTTCGCACAAGACATTCTCGCAACTCTGAGCTCTGAGATGCCGTGCGCAAGGTGGTCCGGCCTGTTTCGCAAGACATTCTCGCAACTCAGAGCTCCCAGATGCCGCGCAAGACCACATGTTACATATCCCCCCTGGGACCCTGGGAGCCCCAGGAGGCCCCAGAGAGCTCCAGGAGGCCGCAGGACGCCCAGGACAGGCCCCAGGGGTCCGCAGGAGATTCCCAGGAGGCTCCCAGGAGGCCCCAGGAGGCCCCCTATCAGAATGTGTCAAGTTAATACACATCCAGTGTCGATTCGTTGATTTTTCCTGCTCTTGTGCCCCCCCCTCCCTCCATTTTGAGGGGCTCAAGCGGCCACAGGTTAGATATCCCCCTTGGGAGCCCCAAGAGGCTTCAGGAAGCCCCAGGTGGAGTTCAGGAGGCCACAGGAGGCCCAGGAGGAAGCCCCAGGAAGGTCCCAGGAGGCACCAGGATGCACCAGGAGGCCCCCGCAACTCGGAGCTCTGAGACGCCGCGCTCGAGGTGGTCCGCCCCGTTTCGCCTGAGACTTCCTCGCAGCACGTTTCGCCCGAGACACCGGCCCGTCTCGCCTGAGACATCCTTGCAACTCTGAGCTCTGAGATGCCGTGCGCAAGTTGGTCTGGCCCGTTTCGCACAAGACATTCTCGCAACTCTGAGCTTCCAGATGCCGCGCAAGAGGTGGTCAAGCCTGGGGGCCCAGAAGACCACATGTTACATATCCCCCCTGGGACCCTGGGAGCCCCAGGAGGCCCCAGAGAGCTTCCAGAAGCCGCAGGACGCCCAGACAGGGGTCCCCAGGAGATTCCCAGGAGGCTCCCAGGAGGCCCCGGGAGGCCCCCTATCAGAACGTGTCAAGTTAATACACATCCGGTGTCGATTCGTTGATTTTTCCTGCTCTTGTGGCTTCCCCCCCCATTTTGAGGGGGCCCGACGGCCACATGTTAGATATCCCCCTGGGAGCCCCAAGAGGCTTCAGGAAGCCCCAGGTGGGGTCCAGGAGGCCACAGGAGGCCCAGGAGGAAGCCCCAGGAGGTCACCAGGAGGCCCCAGGAGGCCCCAGGAGGCCCCCGCAACTCGGAGCTCTGAGACGCCGCGCTCGAGGTGGTCCGGCCCGTTTCGCCTGAGACTTCCTCGCAGCACGTTTCGCCCGAGACATCGTCGCAACTCTGGGGTCCGAGATGCCGCGCGCGAGGTGGTCCAGCCCGTTACGCTGGAGACATCCTCGCAACTCTGGGCTCCGAGATGCCGTTCGGGATGAAGAGGAGGTGGAGAAGGAGGAGGAGGCATAATTACCATGCCACGCCAGCCCGCACTGAACGGGCACGCAATCGACCTTGGAAACCGCAGTGGGTCTAAAAACCCTGTTTGGGGATACTGCACTCCGGCTATAATTTCATTGCGTCGACCCCCCGAGGTCTGCACCTCTTCCCCAGGACCGGTTTTTCATCCCGAGTCGCTTTTGTTGACGGTCCCGAGGCCCAGCACGGGCCCCCAAAGGCCGAACATGGCGCCAGACCTCCCGGCATGATCTTTCCATCGCTCGGACGTCCATTCCCTGTGTTTTTGTTCGGTTTCGTGCGTGGCTTCTTCGCCAAATGATCAAGGATGTTCCTCGATGGTCCCCGCCGAAGGACAAGTGCACACGTCCGAGCGATGCCAAGTGATTTCTGCTCTGCTCGAGGGGCTCTGCAGGTCCCCCTCCCCCCCCCCGGCGAGGGCGAGGGGCGGGCCGCGGCTCCGCCGCCTCGGGTTCGCCCTGCGCAGCTCCGCGGGCACCCCGGGGCTGACGATCGGGGCCACGGCCTCCACCTGCGGCGGCGAGGGGGACGCCGGGCCACTGTTTTTTTTGTTGTTGTTGTTTTTTTTTTGTTTGGGAGAAGAAGGAGGAAAGCAGAGAGGATCGAAGCGGACAGAATTCGAAACCGCTCGCAGCGCTATCAAAATTGGACAGCATGCATTGTGTGAAGCCCTTGTGGCGCCCAACCGCACTTAAATGACACACAATCGCAGCCGACCGCAATGCAGAGCGTAGCGGAGACAAAAACACGATCGCCCCGGACCCGGGCTGGAAAAAGGAGGAGGAGCAGGAGGAGGCGGAAGGAAGAAGGAATAACTAAAGCTGCACAACGGAGCCAACAGGTGGAGCAAAGTTGTTCTGCCCCTTCCTAGGAACCCAACCTAGGACGATACGTATAACTCCAAGTCGTATCGGTGAAACCGGGAGGGGGAAAGGAGAGAGGAAAACGAGGGAAACGGCACAGGAGCACCTGTTGGAGTATGGCAGCGAGGAGTTATGAGTCGCATAACACCCCCGGGAACCGTCCGCAGTCCCAGATGGCGGCCAGGCACGAGCGTGTGCAGTCACATCGGAAGTCGAAGAATACCTCACCTGCAGCCCTTTGGCTGCCCAGCCACAGCTGGGAGAAAATAAAAGAAAAACGGCCACAATCCAGAAGAGGAGGAGGGGGAGGCAAGAGGACCAGACCAACGACGAAAGAAACAAGACAAGGCGGAGGAGGGGGAACTGCCTCGCATTGAAAACTAACTGTGCCAGAAACAAGGATACCGCCACACAGTGTTTCACAGAGCGTTATCGTAAACACTGGCGGAATTTGGGTGTACCAGCCTATCCGTGGCACTATCGGCCACGCGGCCGGGACAGAGGCTGCCTCGCACTGAAAGTAGCTGCGTCAAAAACAAGGATACCGCCACACAGTGTTCCACCGGGCGTTCTCATAAGCACTGGCGGAATTTGGGTGTACCGGCCTATCCGTGGCACTATCGGCCACGCGGCCGGGACAGAGGCTGCCTCGCATTAGCGTCACCGAGTCTATCCGCTCGGAGAAAATAAATCGCACCCCAGTGCAAGACGCAGCGAAAATGTCACGAATTTCGTTGCTCCGAAGTGACGTGCGGCGGTATGCAACACACAGGAAGCAAATATTACACGCGTGCGGCGCGATGCATCACAGAGGCGGCAAACCGAAGGCAGGGTGGGGGTGGTGCACAAGCGTCGGGGCAAGGGCATGCACCACCTATTTTGCACAACTTCGAGCGGCAGTCCGCTCGCAGGCTGTCCTGCGAGCGTGGCCGAACAAAAAAACAAAAACAAAAAAAAACGCATGGGCCGGCACCAAAAGGAGGCACTGTCAGCGGAAGCCCGCAGGAGAAGGAGAGGACGAAGAGGAGGAGAAAGCAGAAGAAGGGAAAACGGGCGGCGCTGGCGCCGCCAGCGGCGCCTCCCTGGCATCTCACGCGCCGCCCGCGGGCTGCAGCCGCGCGCTACCGGGTCCACGCGGCAGCCAGTGCACGACGGAGGCCATGGTGACCAGCGGCCGCCTCGCGTGCGTACTGTAGGAGTGCTTCTGCGGCGTCGGCGGTGCCCCCCTGACGTCTGGCACAACTTGCCGAGTGCGCGGCGTAGAGGACCAACGCACGCTTCGCGAGCTCGGTGGCCGACTGCTGGTTGCGTGGCGTGTGGAGCGCGAGAAAGGTGTCGAGGCGGTCCGTTGGCGTAGCCCGTTGGAGACCAAGCTTCCGCTGGGCGAACTCCAACAATACCGGGCACGCCGCGTAGTGTCGCAATGAATCTTGGTGGTGGCCGCATCCAAAAATGCAGGCGGCGGTATCCCCAAAACGACTTCTGGTGACCCAGCCGTTGCAAAGCGCGCGGAACGTGGCAAACCACACCCTGGGGGGGACATCTTGGGCAATACCTCGCAGAAGCCCGACTGCGCGGGCAACTCGGCGTCCAGGGAGAAGGAGGAGGGGGAAGTGGTCCATGTGCCGGCGGAGCTCACGGTAGACCAACTTCCGCTCATCGGTCCCCAAGCGGAGGACGACCGTCTCCTGCCAGTCCTTCTGGGCCACGTCGCGCGGTGATTGCCCGCGAAGCAGGGCGGAGACGGTAAGGGACTCGTTCTGGGCAGCCCGCTGTAGCCTGGCGCATGCGCGCGCCAAATTCGCCAGGATGTTGGTGTCGACCCACTCGCGCCAGACGATGTATGAATGAGCTGTCCCCGATAACTCGTTCCATGTCCCTGTGGCGACGCACGATGTCCAAACCGCCCTGGCCCGCGTTCCCCCACCGGACCACCCGGCACTTTGCGGCCGTAGCGATGTCGAACAAGTTCGGCAGCTCAGCCTGGAAACCCAGGAAACGGAGGTTGCAGAGCATGCACGGGGAGGTCCAGACCCTTGGGCCCCGAAAAAATGTTTTGCACACCTTGCGCTCGATGCCCCCCCAGTTCCGTGGAAGGTTCAGGAGCTGTGCGAGGAAGCAGAGGACGGGAACGATGTAGATCCTGTAAGCGAGGATGGTGTTGAAGGGGCCGCATCCGACCTGCTGCCAGAGCTGGGCCCGCTCCTGGAACTTGGCGACCGCTTTCGTCCACGATTGGTCTCCCCTGCCCGGCCCCATGCAGAATCCAAGGTGCGTGGCGTGTCGTTGGATGGCAAAATCGCTCTAGACGCGTACATGTTGTTGTAGGTCGTTCCGGACGTCCCCCTCGTCGTGAAGCGTGAGGGGGACCCATGCCGTCTTCCCGTGGCGCAGCCGCAAGCCAGAAATTGCGCGGTACTCCGTGAAGGCGCGCTCCAGGATGCCTGCCTCGGTGAGGGCGTTCGGGAGTACGGCGGCGATGTCGTCCGCGCATGCCCGGAGCGTGACTAGCGGAGTCAATCGCAGGATACGCCGAAGAAGAACGTCCGACACAACAGCGAATAGTAGCGGTGAGAGGGGGCAGCCCTGGCGAACCCCAGAACAAAGTGTGAATCCCTCGTGCCTGTGACCACCCAAAGAGATATTGCAGGTGTTGTTCCAATATAGTCCATCAACGAACGCGCGCATCCAAGGCGGCCACCCTTTTGCCGCGAGGACGTCGCGAAGGAAGGCGTGCGAGACGCTCGGGAAGGCGGCCTCGAAGTCAAAAAACACCGCGGCTGCCGCTGGCGAATCAAATGCGCGTTCTCACATCGACGCCTCCACGTCAACGACGTTGGCCAGCATCGAGCGTCCGTTGATGAAGCCCCGCTGTTCGCCGGCTATCGCTGGGGCAACCTGTGGTTCAATGCATGGCCGAACAGCGCTGCAGATAAGCCAGTTGCCAGCATTTGTGATGTTGAGCGGTCTGGTGTTGGGCGCTTCGTAGGCTAGGAGGCCGTCCTCTATCTCGCAGGAAGGCTTCTTCGGCAAGAAGACAAGGAGGCTCTCGTTGAAGGCGTGCCAGTCCCTATCAAGTGCTCCCAGCGTAGCGTCGGAGGTGAGAAGGCAGAACGCCTCACAAAGAACGTCGGTCCCTAAATCGCCAAGCTTGCGCCGCGCCCGGAATGCAACGCCGTCCGGGCCTGGGGCACTACTCTTCGAGAAGCGGAGGGCTTTCTTGAAATGGTCCTGGGTAGGCGTGGCGATGGGCCGGTGTCGCGCCGCGTCTGGTGGGATGTGCTCCGCCTCCTCGCGCAAACATCGCGCGCGTAAGTCTGCGTCAGTGTCCTGGGCCGCGAAGACCGTCGACTTGTGGTCCCGCAGGGTGGAGGCCATCGCCGATGGGTCGGTGGTCGCGTGGCCCTGCCGGTCCAAGATCGCGAAGGTCGCGCAGCTGCGGCCCGGGGCGAGGCGGTGGATCAGCCGATGGACCCGTCGGCGGCGCTGCGCGGCTTGCTCGGGGGGTAGGTTCGCTAACTCGCCGTGCAACTGATTGAGCTCCTCGAGCGAGTGGTCGCGCGCCAGGTCGAGCGCGTGCTGACGGATGCGTCTGAGCCGCGCCTGGGGCGGGGCGGTGAAGTCGCACGGGTTGTCGACCATCGTGCGCAAGGCGGGGTTGCGGGAGATGCAAGAACCGATCGTGCTCGGAGACTGCCGCTCCGAAGCTCGCAAGAATCGCATCGTCGTTCCCAGCCGATCCTCCGTAGTCAACGTGCCTGTGACATTGCGCCCGTGCATGTCCAGGTGGGTGCCAGCAGACCGCATTGCCTCCTTGAGCAACGGCGCCTTTTTCAAAGCAGATGCATCGGGATCCTGGTCGAGCAGCTCCCCAAAAGCTAAAGCCACCTTAGATGGCCAGTCGGGGTGGTCGACGACGTGGTCGGCGAGCGGCTGCAAGAATGCTGCGTCGCGGCACGGCCGCGCGCGGCGGAAACTGACTGCCCTGTGGCGGGATAGCTCCTTGGGGCACCACTGCAGGGCCGCGCAAGACATGTAGTAGTCCAGATAGTGCGTGTGCTCCTGATTGCAGTGCAGCCTGTCGAGTCGAGAGCGTGCGTTGGGCGACGCGTACGTCATGTTGGGCTGGTAAAGTTCGCGGAGCCCGTGCGGCCGTGCAACCAGAGCGCCCCAGCGGGCCTCCTCGTGAGAGTCGCGGGCTCCAGACGGAATCATGCGAGTCAAATTGATCCTATCCTTCTCGTCGGCCACGAAATTCAGGTCGCCGCCGAGGATTCTGAGCGCAGTATCCTTCGAAGCGATGTGCGTGGAGAGGCGCCGACGAAGCGCCTCCCGTAGTTCAAAAAAAAAGACGGCAGGCGGTCCATGTCATCCAAGCCGGCGTCGATGGCATCCTGGCGCTTGACCTCGCAGCCCGCGTGAAACTACATGACATGCAAATCGAGATTGCAGAGCGGGCCCCGTAGACGGAGCCTGGCAGCTCGACCTGGCATAGTGATCGCCCACGCGGGTGCGGGGTCGAAGAGGGCGAGGAACTCGTTCTTGACAATGATTCCCACCCCAGCAGCAGCAGCGGTGGGTCCAGGGGCCCACCATGACTGGCAACCAACCGGATTCGTCCAGACAGCATTGCCACCTGCCGTACCGC